CCATCACGCCCAGCTCATTTTTGCATTTTTAATAGAGATAGGGTTTCACCTTGTTGGTCAGGCTGATCTGGAACTCCTGACCTCAGATGAGCTGCCTGCCTCCACCTCCCAAAGTGCCGGGATTACGGGTGTGAGCCACTGCGCCCGGCCAAGATGCTCATGTTTTCAGTATTACAGGATACTTGAAATGATGGATGATGTCATGTGAACAGCGTGTGTTACTAATGATGCTGGTAGCCTTCCCTCCCGCCGTTCTGTCTCCACCCTCTGTGCCCCTGTTCACGCCTTGACCCCCTTACTCTTTGCACTTGCCTGTGAATTGCATTTTGTATTTAAAGACCTCTGTGCACAATATCCTGTTATCTACGTGGACAGCCCATGGTCTCAGCGTCCCGCACCGTGGCTGGAGTTCACCTTCTGATTTGCTCTTATATTTCTAAAACCAGTTTGATTTTCCCTGGGGAGCCGGGGCTTGTGTTTTCCTTCCAGTGCCCCGTGCATAGCATGCCTTGACTGGCCTCCACATGGTTCTTCATCAGACTGGTTTGGATTTTACAAGGTGTCAGAGTTTTTTAATGAGCTCATGAGGTCTCTTGAACTTGAGTTTATGCCAGAGAAGCTGTGGAGTGATTAACTTAATGGGTGCTGTTTATCCCCACAGATGCCCAGCACTGTTCCTGCTGCAGCTGAATGTTGGTGGATAACAAACAATTCTTTGTAAATTGTGATTGCAGAATCCTGCCATTTTATGTTTTTGTTTTTTTTTTTTTCTTTTGCTGTATAAATGATTGGGCAGCTCGTTAAGTTCACTCTGTTATGGTAAGGCACTGCTATAGAGGACACTGAGCATGAGGAGAGAAGAAATGATTAAGGCCTCAGTGGGAACTAGGGGTTTTTTAAGAGAAAGAAAATGGGTTGGGCATGGTGGCTTACGCCTGTAATCCCAGCGCTTTGGGAGGCCAAGGCAGGCAGATCACCTGAGGTTGAGAGTTCAAGACCAGCCTGACCAACATGGAGAAACCCCATCTCTACTGAAAATACAAAATTAGCTGGGCGTGGTGGTGCATGTCTATAATCCCAGCTACTCGGGAGACTGAGGCAGGAGAATCACTTGAACCTGGGAGGTGGAGGTTGCAGTGAGCTGAGATCCCGCCATTGCACTCCAGCCTGGGCAACAAGAGCGAAACTCAGTCTAAAAAAAAAAAAAAAAAAGAAAGAAAGAAAGAAAACGAAGTAACCCTGGCATACCTGCCTGATTATATAATAATTTTCCTCCTTACTGCTCCTTTTTTATGTTTTCGCCTCCAGAGCTGCCCAGAAGTTAAATCTGTCTTCTAAAAAGAAGAAGCACCGGCCTTCCGCTTCCTCCGCTGCCGAGCCCCCGCTCTTCGCCACCAGCTTCAGTGGGATTCTGCAAACCTCCCCTCCCCCAGCCCCGCCCTGTCTGCTGAGAGCTGTCAACAAGGTGAAGGACACCCCGGGCCTGGGCAAGGTAGGCACCATCCGCCGTCCCTGCCATTTGCCCAGGGTGCCAGGTTCTGGATCAGGTTTCAGAAAGAAGAAAATGAGGGCTCCAATGTGTTAAAATAAGAGGGTGCCGGGGAGAAAAGGAAGCAACGTGAAATTCATTTGAAAGTCCTGTAAAATTGTCATTGGTTGCATACACTAAGTAGTAAACCAAGACATTCAAACTATAAGAGGCCTGATTTGCTTATGGTGGGAAAAAACAGCTGTGCCGTGTTTGACAGAGTCATAGTCATTTAAAGAAAAGACACAAACGATGGAGGCAGAGGCAGGGGACCGAGGGACGCCGTAGGACAAGGCAGAGAAATGAGATGTCATGGTGCCTCGTCATTTCCCCGTGACACTTTGGGCTTCTTCCTCGCCTTCAGAGAAGCCGTGACTCTGAGCTAGACCACCACGGGGATTTGTGAGGAACGCTAGCCAGGAGGCGCAGTTTCAAATCGTCACAAATACTTAGAAAGAGGTGTAGAATCACGTTTGCAAGATGTTGCTCAGCTGCACTTGGGATAATGTATTTTTAAGTGTCATTTCTAAATTCTTTCTCCCTTCTGAGCGAAGCGTGTGGGTGAAGTCATTTACGGTGAATGAATAAGCTGGGACTTACACAAACATGGAGCTAAAGAAAGAGGCGGCGGGTTTTTAGATTTTTATCAAAAGTGTGAGTGGTGCACACGCTCTCACTGGTCCTTTGCAGACTTCACGTGACTCCGACCCTGAGCTCCGTCTGTGAACTTGCCAGTCTTGCTGAAGGGAGCAATGACTAACCTGCGCAGATTGGGATTTTGCTTGTTCAGATCACTAACTGCCAGTCCCCTGGGTACCGAAACACGGTCATGCCTGGGTTTCTGGTCCTCAGAAGGCCTCCCAGTCTCTCTGGAGTTTCCCCTTACGCCCTCTGCCCCCTCCTCCTTTTTCTTTTCTCCTTTCCCAGTTTCTCACGTTAATCTCACCACCTTGTTGGAAAGGTATTAACTTCTTGTGGTTCTTTTCCCCAAGAAGAGTTTAAATTTCAAGATTGCATTGACTAGGCTGGACACAGTGGTCACACCTGTAATCCCAGGGCTTTGGGAGGCCACAGCAAGAGGAGCACTTAAGGCCAGGAGTTCGAGACTAGCCTGGGTAACATAGCAGGACCCTGTCTCTACAAAACAATTTAAAAGCCAGCCAGGCACAACGGCAGATGCCTGTAGTCCCAGCGACTCAGGAGGCTAGGGAGAGAGGAGCACTTGAGGCCAGGAGTTTGAGGCTGCAGTGAGCAATGATCGTGCCACTGCATTCCAGCCTGGGCCACAGAGTGTCTGTGTTTTAAAACATTGTACATTGAACAGAGCAATGCTGCCTCTGATGGGAAGCGTCCAGCCCTGGAGTTTTCCATGGTGGTGGGCAGGGCAGACAGTTTACAGCTGACAGCTTTCCCAGGCCCAGCGGGTAAGTAAGACCAAGGAGTCAGGGCAGGGCCTGGGCTGTCTGCAGGGGCTGCCCTGGCATCAGTGGACACGGAGGCAGGTGAAAAACACAGTGTGGACCAGAACTCCTGTCCGGGAGAGGACTCACTCAGTGGGTGAAAGCCCCCAAGGAGGGGCCATGGTACCCCCCAGGGCACCCAGGTATGATTGTAGATGGTTGATACGCTGTCTTCTAAGAGGGCTGGGTCCAAGTAATTGCTGGGATCTTCTATTCTTTTTGAAATTTTTAATTTGTAATTGTGGTAAGATACAGATAACATAAGCTGTACCACTTGAACTGCTTGTAAGTGTACATGGGCTCTTGGTTTGGAACTTCGGTGCCGGAGCTGAATGGCCCTGGACAAAGTGAAATGAAGCTGTCAGCGCGGCCACCTTCCCCTCTTGTGCTCCAAGCAACACCTCACTTCTCTTCTGAATAAGTGTGAGCAAATATTTCAGCGATGGCCCCTTGAAAAGGTGCCAGATTATTAGCAAACGTGGGGTACTCATGTACCCCAACGAAGCCCTGTCCAGGGCACCTCAAAATGAACCACATCAGAAACTGTCCCCCCACATCTACAGGATTGGCCCTGTCCGTGTTTCCTGAAAGGGTTGATGTGGATGCATGTTCTGGGGCCTGGGCCCCAAGCCCAAAGCTCTGACCTCTCCTCCACTGCCCCAGCACCCTCCCTGGAATTCTGGGTGCCAAGGCCAGGGACCACCGCAGCAGAAAGAGCGTCCCAGCCAGCAGGATGACCCAGCACTGACACAAAAACCGTTTGGAGGGCAAAGGACACCGGGCCGATCTTGATTTCATGATGTGCCGTATAGTGACCACATACACACGCACATCGCGAAATCAGGAACTTACAGTGAAGAGAGTTATGCTTGTTAGTTTAAGTTTGCAAAGCACACATTTTTTTTTTTAATTAAAGATATCCCTCTCATTCACTTGCAATCCAAAATGCAATCAAAGCCTTGAGTTCATCCACGGGACTGTGTCCTGGAGCGGGGCCTCGGCCTACGGTCACAGAAGATAATAGAAGGTGTGACTTCCGTCTGACCGGTGGCCAGAGGGCGGCAGCTGAGTCCAACCTCCTGTCCTGCTCAGGCTTCTGGAGGGTGAGGGACAGTGAGGGGGAGGAGGTGACATTTGGAGAGAATGTGTACCATGACTGAAACAGGAAGTGACCGAGACCCTGCCTCTTTCTGCACGGAGTGTTCCTGTGCTGTCAGTCAGCAGGCTCTGACTGCCCTACCATATGGGTGCCAAACTGCCGGGCCTTAGCTAAGGTCTGTCTTCTCCGACTCCTGCTTCTTCCACCTCCACTGATACCTCACCATCATTTAGAACAGCAGTTCTTTTTAGCCATGTGGAAAAATTTCCATCAATTTATCTCTGTTGCATAATTTATATTTTAATATCTCCAAGAAATACAGTGGAGTTTAATATAGAACATAAATAATTGGCGCTCTATATAAATCGGTGGGTTTGAGGCAGACAAGTTTGATTGAATTCCCAAAAGCAAGCTGATTGATGATTTAAACCTGACCTGGAGCATCCTAGAGTGGGGGCAGGGGAGCGGGAATCGCCACCGCTGGAGATGGCCCTGAAGGTGGGAGGCTTCTCCCAGCCCAGCCCCGCCTCTCCGGCCTCAGCCACCCACCGCCTCCCTCTGGAAACCTGGGAGGTCTTCCTCAATGGGAAGGGATTGTATGCGCTTATTCAGAGCAACTTCTTATTTAGCGAATAAGAAAACTGAGGCCCAGTGAGGGTCACAGGTTTCCCAGTGACTCCAGAAGCAGGGCAAGAAGTCAGGGCCTTGAAGCCGTTTCCTTCAGGCTGTCATGAGACAAACATGACCCTTGACGATTTGGGGTGGAGGCAGGAGTGTCCTAAAACCAGAACAGTAGCAAGACGCCGCTGGGAAGCAGTTGCCTTGATCCAGTGGGTGAAGGCATACTTTTCCGAGCCAGGGTTGGGAGAGGAAGGGGAATAACAGTCAAGAATACACAGACAGAGGGAGAAGGGAGGCTCGCCATCCCATCCCGTCCCTCCTTCCCGCCCCCCGCTGTTGCCAGCAGCAACCCCACTGCCCAGCCACCACCAGGGAGTCATTGCTGGCCATTGAGCGCTTCTTGAGGCAAAAGCCTTTCTGGAGGCCATGGTGATGGGAGAAATAGAGGTGACTTCCGTGTACTTAGAGCTGAAGCGTGCGCAAGCACACACACACGCACACGCACGCACGCACACACACGCGCACACACACACACGCACACACACGCGCGCGTACACGCACACACACGCGCGCACACCCACACCCACACACGCACAACACCTCAGGGCCCTCTGCCCCTACAGCATTTCCTCATACACAGCAAATCCTTTTTTCTTTTTCTTTTTTTTGAGACAGTCTCCCTCTGTCGCCCAGGCTGAAGTGCAATAGCACAATCTCAGCTCCCTGCAACCTCCGCCTCCCTGGTTCAAGCGATATTCCTGCCTCAGCCTCCCGAGGTTAGCTGGGATGACAGGCATGCTGCCACCACACCTGGCTAATTTTTGTATTTTTAGTAGAGACAGAGTTTTACTATGTTGGCCAGGCTGGTCTTGAACTCCTGACTTCCAGTGATCCACCTACCTCAGCCTCCCAAAGTGCTAAGATTACAGGCATGAACCACTGTGCCTGGTCCACAGCAAATATTTATTAAGCGCCTACTATGTGTCAGGTAGTATGCTGAGCAGCAGGCTTAGGTTTGCAATAATGGGCAAGGCAGAGTGCCTGTTCTTATGGCATTTATACCTTAGTGCTTTATCCCAGTCACTCATAAATCTCACCAATCTGGGCCAATACGAAGGACAGTCTGATTTAAGGAACAGTCAGGATTATAGGCTTAAAGTGATTCTGTCTCACTTGCAAGTTACATAGAGAAATTATGCTACTGAGTAGTCTTATAGAAATATTCTTCATAAACAGATGAAGATGATTAGTGGATCAAAGCAGCTTAGTCCCATGTATATTTCACTGCTTTGGCTTATATGTAAATGATGCTTCTAATGTGTTTGAAAATGGTTCCTTGTCTTAAGTCAGCAAACGTTCTTCACGAAATTTGTTTGCACAATTAATTAACATCCACGTTGAGGGTTCATTTGTTGGTATGTCACAGCTTAATGTCAGAGCTTTTTGTCTTGGATTACATGTTTCCAGAGCCAAGCATCTTTCTGTTTGATTTGCTACATATGTGGCTCTGCAGCCGCACCATGGAGGCATCAACATTTTAAAAAGTGAGAACGGTCACGGTGACAGTCACATGAGATTCATGACAGCCTGTAGGTTGGTTGGTTCTCCTCTTCCCAGAAGAATACCCGAAGGGAAATACATGAAGCAGGAAGGGAAAAGGAGCCGTCTCTCTCTTCATAATCACCAGGGATGCCTCAAAAGAACAGCTGTGATCAGCACCTACCCTTCTTCCCCCCAGCAGATTTGGGTGATACCAGAAAATTCTTGTAGGTGAATCCTAGCAT